CATATATAGATAAACATAAATAATTATATATTTAAATATATATATATCTATATATAATATATATTGCTTTCTCATGGACATACTGCGTTGCAGCTGCTATGTAGAACTTTATCTCAGACTCGTACATCATATATATAATAGCTGTGCGCTATTTTCAGGGACATACTGAATGGCAGCTGCTATGGAGAGTTTAATTCGAGAGGAAAGGAAGTCTATGTTGTGCTGAAAACACAGACACACACGCATCCGACTTCGATGCCATCTTGAAAACTATTGGCATCCCATCTTGAGAATCTGTACTTTGGCCATCTACATCTCTCTGCTATGCTATTGAATTGACATGACGATTGTATTCCCTCTTATGGCGTAGCAGCCGCACGTTGCGCTACCTGAACTCTGCACGTAATACTGGGTTTTACTGCATATAAAACATATATTGACATATAAAATAGTCTACCGTGGGATTGCAAAAACAAAATAAAATTGTACGACCAAACATATATTTAGCTGTTTGATTTCAGTATATTATGACTCTTTATGAGGTGCCTAGAGGTCATCAATTTTGTTTTATTAAATTTATATTGTTTTTTTCAGAGGGCATTTTACAAAATAGGACTTTACGTGCAACCTACGTATACTTGCTGGCAGCTGGCCCTCCTACTACTATAGTAATCAGTGTAAACGCTCCAACGGTAGGAAACTCATGCACGAGGATAGCTCAATGCCGCTTGCTGTTGTGTACTCCCTGCGAGGAAGTACATTGAATCACCTGCACGAATCAGGCTATTAGTTGGAATCAAATAGAAGTCGAGCGTAGTACTGCGTCTTCACACTAGCAGGATAAGTCTTCTCATAAGCGGGATAGTCTCCAGTTAGAGTGTTCGACACTCTTTATTTGACAGACAGCTCATCGATAAAGAGTAAGTGCTGTGTGCGTATTGTGATCCATACCGTCCGACTAAATTTGTATGTAATTTAGTTCCATTGTGTTCCATTGTACCTTGTGAAGACTGCCTGCGCAAGGGTTTGAGCCATCTCTTTTACTATGGCATGTACGTCTGTTTCTGTATTATCAGCGTAGCACATATTTTACCGCGCCATATTTTTGACAGCTGTCAATATTTGTGTACCTACTGAATAGTATGTCCGAATAGACAGACTGTTCTTAGCCAACATGTGTAGTCGTCGACCTGCAATCAATTTGAATGCATATGAGCGTCACACAGACGACAAACTTCACAGAATTCAACGCTAGGAGTACCTGAACCTGCACGAAAACACACGCGTAATCATATAGCCATAAATCGGTACGCATACAAGTCGGACACAGAATCAAGCATATGTTAACAAACACACGCGTGTATGTATGCATAGTACATGTTCCTGGCTAAAAATTCGGTTGAGGGTAACACTGTTGTGAAATTATGCTGCAGAAATCGACATACACCATAGACAGCACGATGTCCACTCGAAATCTAGTCATTGATGCAGTCACCGCGAATGAGACGATGTCACGACTTGAGGAATATGATTGCGACACAATCGTGAGTCTGCTACCTCGCATGCAGAAACTAGCGGCGGAGAAAATAAGTGACCAGTTGAGAAGATCTGGCGCCACAGAGCCCCTCTACTTGAATGGTATAAAAATTTCGTCAGAGATTATGCTACACGTGTTTAAGCTGCTAGACCCCGTGTCTCTCTATGAGTGTCGCCTGGTCTGCGGATCGTTCCACTTTCTGGTGCGCGACTCGCGGTTGTGGATTTCGTTACCTCGAGCGACCTATGAGTATGTATGTATATA